CTCCTTCACCCATCTTCCTCCTCCTCCCTCACTCATCTTCCTCCTCCTCCCTGCTCCCCAATACTTCCTCCTCCTCCCTGCCCTGAACCTTCCTCCTCCCTGCCCCGAACCTTCCTCCTCCCTGCCCCATCCTCCTCCTCCTCCCTGCTCCTCAATCATCCTCCTTCCCTCCCCGAGCCTTCCTCCTCCTCCACGTCCCCTCCTCCTCCTCCTCCCTCCTCCTCCTTCCTGCTCCCTGAAACTTCCTCCTGCTCCTCCCTGCCCCAAATCCTTCCTCCTGCTCCTCCTCCTCCTCCTCCCACTCCCTGCCCCGGAGCCTCCGTGGGGGAGAAATTCCAGCTCCAAACCTGCCCAGAGCCGGAGCCGCCTCATCCCAACCCCGGGGGTTCCATCTCAGCCCCGGGGGGGTCCCATCCCAGCCCCAGGGGGGTCCCATCCCAACCCCCGGGGTTCCCATCCCAACCTCGAGGGGTCCCATCCCAGCCCTGGGGGGTGCCATCCCATCCCCTCCCTGGGAGGTCCCATCCCAACCCCGGGGGGGTCCCATCCCATCCCAGAGAGTCCCATCCCATCCTCAGGGAGGTCCCATCCCAACCTCGGGGCTTCCCATCCCAGGGGGGTCCCATCCTATCCCATCCCATCTCATCCCATCCCAGGGGGTCCCATCCCAACCCTGGGGGTCCCATCCCAACCCTGGGGGTCCCATCCCATCCCATCCCATCCCATCCCATCCCATCCTGGGGGGTCCCACCCCAGCCCTGGGGGTCCCTCCTGGCCCAGTCCTGGGCTGTGGGGGGACAGGGAGGGCCCCCCCCTCCATTCCTGGTTCAGGCACATCCCAGGCTCTGTCTTCCCAAATTTTGGGGGGCTGGTGGAAAAACGGAGTCCCTCACTCCCCATCCCTCTGGGATCCTGACTCCAAACCCAGCTGGATCCCCCACATCCCAGCTGGATCCCCCACATCCCACTTGGATCATCTCCGTTGACTTGGCCACATCCCGGCTCTTCCCTCCCAATTTTTGGGATGCTGGTTGTAAAGGGGGGGGTCTCCCCATCTCCCTCTGGGCCCCAAACCCAACCAGACCCCTCCACATCCCAACCAGACCCCCCAAATCCCAACCGGACCCATCCCATCCCACCCTGGCCCATCCCTCCATGTTCTTCTCCATCCCGGCTCTTCCCTCCCAATTTTTTGGGATGCTGGTTGTAAAGGGGGGGTCTCCCCATCTCCCTCTGGGCTCCAAACCCAACCAGACCCCCCACATCCCAGCCAGACCCCCCCCCATCCCACCCGGACCCATCCCATCCCACCCTGGCCCATCCCTCCATGTTCAGCCCCATCCCGGCTCTTCCCTCCCGATTTTTGGGGTGCTGTGGATTTGGGGGACCCCCCCTGACCCCCCTCACCCCCCCCGTGTCCCCCAGTACGAGGAGCTGAAGCTGACGGCCGGGAAGCAGGGGGACGACCTGCGGAACACGCGGAGCCAGATCCAGGAGCTGAGCCGGAGGATCCAACGGATCCAGGCTGAGATCGACGCCCTCAAGAACCAGGTTTGGGGGAGCCCCCCCGGGATCTGGGGGAGACTGGGATTTTGGGGAGCCTGGGATCTGGGGGAGACTGGGATTTGGGGGAGACTGGGATCT